GGATCCATTCTTTTATTTCGACTCACACAGGGGACACAAACAAACTGAAATGTACATAAAAAAAGGAAAAGAACACAGTTCTATTTGTCTAATATATATATATATATATATATACACACACACACACACCAAAATTAAAACACAAACTAATAGCAACCAGCATCCCCAAGTAAGAGCTTTTGGTTATAATTTTGACAATGTTATGTGCGCCATATAAAATGGATGAGCATTGTTGGCCGCCAATAAACTCTTGAAATGATTCTTGCAGTGTTCACGCGATTAAAGGAGAAAGACCACAATATTGTCCTAACCAGCGACGAAGTCGTCTACCGGCCAGCCAATGGGCGAGCCAGTCGCCAATGATATTATCCAAAACGAGAGCGGTTTTGTACTTCAGGCGTTCTGTGGAATTTACTTTGAAGTTACTATTTTAAGGCACTGGGACATCCCCGACTTGCTTCAATTGTTTGTGTGAAACGTCATCAGGACATGGTTTGTGTTATTTCCTGTCAATCAATTTGGCACAGCAACAGAACACACTCTTTATCGACTCAGATGCCAGCTTCGTTAGCTTAAACAAATATTTGGTTTTTGCAATCATGCGACCTTTAAAGCTTATATTTACCACTTTCATTCGGGCCGAGTGGGACATGGAAGCCTTGAACGTGGGGATTTGAGTACGCATGGTTAGTGCAGTCGCCAGCAACTTTACATAAAAGGATTTTTTGGGCTTAATTTTCTGACAGAGAAAGAAAAAGAGAAGCAAAATTACCGAGAATTCTAACCTGGGTCTCCTGAATGAGAGAGAGAGTCCAGCGCTCTTAGTCGTTAGGCCAGCCTAAAAGCAAATAATTCCTGATAAGTTGAGATTATTACGCCCGTCCCAATGTCGGGCGTAATTTTTCGTTATTTTGAAGCCCCACCCAGGCTGTTGCCGGGGCCCTAATATAATCAAAACAATTGATTGAAATGGGTTTTTGTGACCTGCACCGGGTGATCCTCATCCGAGTGGTGACACGTTGTGTCATCTGGTGTTTATCGCTCTGTGTGAGGTTCTGGCGGGGTAAAACGTCAGTCATTCAGACAATCAGTTAAATGAGATCAAGTTTGACCTGCACAACTTGACATCACACTCACTGGAGATTTAAAGAAGCTCATTTTTTTCTTTTAACTCATACGGATGTCTGCAAATTATCGAAGACACAGAAAAACAAAACTGAGATGCTGAAGGAGAAACATCAGTTGGAGCAGTATTATTAGTAGCAGAAGCAGCAACGACAGCAACAGCTGCAGTAGTAATAATAATAATACAGTAGTAGTAGTAATAGTAGTAGTAGTAGTTGTATTAGTAGTAGTAGTAGTAGTAGTAATAGTAGTAGTAGTATTAGTAGTAGAAAAGTAGTAATATTAGTAATAGTAGTAGCAGCAGCAGCAACAACAGCAGCAGCAGCAGCAGCAGTAGTAGAAGAAGAAGAAGAAGAAGAAGAAGAAGAAGAAGAAGAAGAAGAAGAAGAAGAAGAAGAAGAAGAAGAAGAAGAAGAAGAAGAAGAAGAAGAAGAAGAAGAAGAAAATACGGAGTAGTAGTAGGAACATAAGGCAACCACGAATTGGGAAGGAGGGGGAGTAGAATGAGGACGCGCCATAAAAACAAACCAGACAGGAACAAGTCACATCACTGGCCCATACTTGCTAACAACAGGCTGGAAACAAGTGTTCGCCATTCAGTCTTCATTAGAACCAACCTTAGCATTTCTTTTTTGGTTGTTTTGTAATTTTACTAAGCAATATCACGTTCAGTAATTTGCCATTGCGACTGAACTGTTAGTTTTCGATACCATTTTAAAAATCAATTCAAAACGGTCTGTTGCCAAATCGCCCGCAGTTGGAATCGAACCAGATGTTTAGGAATTACGTAGCGCGTTAGCAACGCCTACACCACAAACGTCGACTGATTCAGTCTAAATCTCGCCCACATATAACTCGAAGACTTCGTGGACAGATACTATCCTAGGTCACGGATAGCTTCTGAGTTAATTAGTCATTTGTAGAGTTGATCACATGTCTAGTCAAAGACCAGTTTCGCCCCGTCATGTGTGTGACACATGCTTTCATGTGGTTTCATGACGTCTGACTAGGATGTTGCTTAATATGGGGGCGGGGGGGGGGGGGGGGGGGGGGGGGGGGGGGGGGGATTCTGTATAATCTTGTTGTTGTTGTTTCTGGGGAGACAAGAATAAATAAAGAATAAATAAGTTTGTGAATATAAAAATTGTCGGGGAACTATTGTATGAATTATTAAAATGAGCTGTCAATATGAGGTTTTCAAGTATTAAACAACGGATCAACATCATGGCACACGTGTGTAACCCATAAGTGCTCCGTTCTTCTTCTAACTCAAATGTGAGTCCCAAGAAGCTCAGCACAGTGCACAGGCTATGTTGCACCGGCGGGAATCCTGCAATATTTTGGGGTGATTTTTAACTCCAAATTTTGCCCGGGTAGCGCCGTTAGGCTACTTTTTTCGATTTCTAACTGCCAAGGGATATTTTACATGCGCAACAATGCACACGGGCGTCCGATCAATGTGAAAAAAAAAATCCCTGCCCTTACCCTGGATTGAAACCGGAACCTCTAGCACTCGAGGCATGGTGTCCGCGGACACCATGCCTCGAGACCACGCAGCTTCCTAGCTGTCAATTACAAATTAGAAGGTTCAAAAATAATTTTTGGGTAAAAGGTCTTTTGTAGCCTGCCTGAAAGAAACTTGGTCTCGCCTCATCCACCGCCTCTTGCACTCTCTTACCCAAGATGCTTCTTATATCATGTGCCCATCTTCTTTCGGGACGGCATCCTGCACCTCTTACATGGCACGCTGTCTGCTGCTACTATCCCTTTTAACTTGCCTTAGCGATCAGTATGACTACTATATTTTGATTCTTTCAATTTCCTTGTTATCCTCGTGTATTAAGGCGTGAATATATGCACTATATATATATATATATATATATATATATATATATATATATATATATATATATATATATATATATATGGCCGCCCCCCCCCCCCCCCCGGTACCGCCACAGTCATGTTCAATTTTTAGTTTGTTTTATGTTTAATCCGTTTCCTGTTATGGTTGTGACTGAGCATCTTCAAGTGTGCAATAAAAGAGGGTCCACTTTCATAGAAGGAAGCTGCAGCTTGACTGTTGTCTGGCAAACATATAAGTGTCAACAGCTTTACTGTCATCCCCTCACAGCTTTTGTTATTTCATTTACTTTATTTTTGAGTAACTTCACTAACTTCATAACGGTCACGATAGAGATATAGCAGGTAAGATCAGCCGTTTACTTGATTAGCATCTTATGATATGCCGTGATGTTATGCAGTCTCAAGGTGTCAGTGACTCCTTCAATCCATGTTCTGCTAGGTCTTCCCCTGCCTCTTCGTGTTTCGATTTTCAGGTTTTACGCTCTTGCTGCTGGCATCTCTGGTTTCATTCTCATTAAATGATCAAACTATTTTATTCTTCGTTTCTCAATAAATTAGACAATGGGTTTTGTTCCAAAAGTTTTTGAGATCATGTCGTTTCTCATTCGATCTCTTCTGGTTTTATTCACAGCCATTCTCAAACATCTCATCTCACAGGTGGTTAGTTTTTTTTTCGTGTTTTTTTCTCAATGCCCAAGTCTAACATTGGTAACCTAAAGTCGGTATAAATATTGTATTTATATTATGTCTTGTTGTCTCTATTGGGATAGCGGGGTGTTTTATAATTGAAGCAAGTTGGTGGGTGACATTGTTGGCTTGATGGATTCTCGTTTCTTTTTCTCTGTCTATTTTACCGTTATGTAAAGATGCTTCCCAAGTTTTTAAATTCTTGCACTTGTTTCAGACTTTGATCTTTATGTCGATGGCTTGTTGCTCTCTACTTATTCTCATGACTTCTGTTTTTTTTTTTTTTTCAATATTAAACTTCATGTGATGTTTAACGAAACTGTAGTGTAGTTGGTTTATGCGGTCCTGCAGCTGTTTACTTTCACTGTGGAATATGCACTGATCATCGGCAAAGAGCAACTCATTGAAGTTCTCCTGTTTATCGACATCTGGTGGTGTTATGTCTATTTTAATAAAATAGTCCATGAATATTTTAAAAAGTTAGGGTGAAAAAAAACACACACCCTTACCTTACTCCTGATGTTACTGGCAACCAGTCTGTGAGGCCAGCTCTTGTTATTTACTCTCATTAAACATAAGAAAACAAGTACTGAAATGTAACATCGAGGCTGATCTGTTGTATGGCAGTCAATCTTGGAATGTGAAAATTATCAAGAATTTGGAGGCAACTGAGGTGTGGTTCTTGAGAAGAATGTGGAGGCAACTGAGGTGTGGTTCTTGAGAAGAATGTGGAGGCAACTGAGGTGTGGTTCTTGAGAAGAATGTTGCGAATACCAGAATAACTAACAAGATTGCCTAGAAATAGTTAATGAAAGTAGAACATTATATACAGCAATGAGAAGGAAATAAACACAGTTCTTTGGTCATGTAATGAGAAAAGGAGCACTGAAAAACAACGTGACGACTGGAAAGATCACTGGTAGAAGAGGCAGAGGCAGACAAATAGACATGATGGTGCATAGCTTAATAAGAGGTATGGAGGCATATCATCAGGGGAACTGATCCAGAACACCAACGACTGAGATCTGTAGAAATGCATGAACGCCTACGCCAGCTGGCAAGGCACTTAATGATGATGAAATTGAGCACACAGAAATATTACTGTTGAAAATAATTCAAATGCTAATTTTTCTCCCCTTTTAGATCAGGAGACAAGTAAGGGAACCCAAAAAAAAAAAAAAAAAATATCTCGAGTTATCGGCAGTTGTCAGAGCTCGTAAACAAGAGGACAGTGAGAAATAGACAATAATAAACCAGGAGAACACAAATCATTCGGCGACAACAATCCAGAATTTGATTTCCTGTGTAGTTGAGTAGAGAGAATGGAGACTGTGTTCTTTGCTGTGTCGTTGATTGTGCTTGCGGCAGTTCAAGGTTAGTATATTTTATTATGTCAAATGTCACACAGTCATTTATGTACTAAATTTATGTTTAAAAATACAGGTACTAGAATGTAAGGATGCATATTTGTAAGTTATTGATGTTATAACTCCTCCTCCATTTCCCCCTTCTGCTAGTCTTCTTCCACTCCTCTTCTTCGTCCTCCGCGTCTTCCTCTTTCTACCCCTCCTCTGCTTCTTCCTTTTCTTCTTCTTCTTTTTATTCTTCTTTAAAAATATAATTGCTGTGTAAAAGAGGAAAGTTAGGCAGAGCTGAGTAACAACGGGCTTATTATGGAGCCCTTTCCACAAAACAAAACCGCTTTTCTTGCTTAGTTCTTCTTCTTGTCTGGCTACTTCCCCCTCCGCCTGTTGCTCCGTACTCTTGCCTTGCATTCCTGAATGGAAAGTAGCTCCCCTAAGGAAACCAACTCAAAACTGTGAAGACTTGTCAGTAACTTACAACATGGTGCGGCTGTGATCTATGGAAGGAAGTTTCCAGTCTTACGCTAGTCCTCTTACTTACCTTTCGTAAGTAGTTTACATTGTTGCTATTTTTGTTTTCCTAATGAGCCCAAGTAACGTTTGGACGCTAGAGATTGCCACTACTGAAGTTTGTTTCATGAACTGAGGAGACTGGCTTGGAGGACAAGCAATGGACCGCGCTGATGTTCTCAGTGCTCTAAAAGAGACATAAGGAGTAGATGATTCAGGAGATGACGATGAAGCAGCAACATTAAAAAGACTACAAAAAAGTCAGGTCACAAGAGGCATTACCAGACATGAAAACTATACAGGTAGCCGAAGAAGAATAGTAAAAGTAAAAAGTAAAAAACTAAAGATCCCTTCTCACGCCTTTAGGCGCATCGTGTATTTGGGAAGAGCGCCCATATTTTGTCAGACCATCGGCACTAGGTGGGTAATGTGGTCAGCATTACACCGGCCGTCTCTACTTTCACAGGACAGTCATCCTGGTACTCATTTTAGGCTGGGTCGATCTGCGACGCCCTATACCACGATAAAAATCCACGCAGCCCTCGAGGAATAGTAAACAAACACAAAACGGGTGTTATCAGTCGCCACACGCTTAGGGAGATACTGAAGATGGGATCCGAGCGTCTATGAACTTGTGTGATGAGAATAAACGGTCGATTAACTAACTTTGTTACATTTGATTTTTTTTTTTTTTTTTTTTTTTTTTCATTTTTTTTTTTAAATTTAAAATACTGATCTTTTAATTATTTTAAACCACACCGAAAATGTTTTAAAACTGCCAGTTATAGTCTAAAAAACAGAAGCAGGACACCCATTTCTCATCATCATCATGTGTTTTGTCTGTTGGCCTAATCGATGGTGTTTCTCTGGCTCTTAGGATCTCCAAGAACAAGAATTAGTTCATGTCATGGCTGTCAAGAATCGTCAGGCATTGGCTTCTTTTTTCTTCTCTCACTATTTATCTCACCAAACATACGATAAACCAATAGATTCCAATTTGTCTTTCTTTGAATATGACCAACAATTGTGACTGTCCCTCTGTCTGTCATTATTCTAGCTGTGCAAGGATACTTTTTAGAAATACAAAACATAATTAAAAAATAGCAGTACGCAAAAAAATAATGAGGGCTCTTTGTATCTAAGAACCAGACTTCTTCAATGGTCAGATCCCAAAGTGTGTCAATATTTATCCTCCTCTTAGTCCAAAACGCCGTATGTTACCAGAAAGGGATGCAGAACCAGTCAGTCTATCTGCCTGTTCATGTCCCAACACACCGTTATCACCTGGTGAGAATATCCGAAGGATACTAACTACATGGGACCTCTGAAGTGATGCATGCCATACTGCACGAAACATACATTTCTACACCTTTCTTAACATGCTCTGTAAGCCAGTGACAATCTATACCACTGATTTCTCGTAGGCTCATGTCTAGTGAATAATGTGCATATTATTCTTTGCATTTTATGACAATTCTGTAATGATGTCAATAAAAGATCGTCCAAAGGTTGTTGATTCTATACGTGACAGCTATATGCAGATTACTGTGCCATTTATTTCTGCAAAATACTTTTCTGAGTGACTGGTTTATACTGATGATTTTAATGTCTTTAATCTTATTTTTAATGCAATATTTTTATGATTTCTTCACTACTGAGCCTGTGCACTGTATACAGACATCTTTTTTTTGCTTTTCTTACCTGTTATTTTCCTACCTAATCTTTAGCATCTCTAATACTGCCGGATATCACCCCGTACACTTATCTTTTCCTTTTTTTTCTTCTGCGTTCGGAATTAAAAAGGACAGTTCACACTTAATGTTGCGGATTACGTCGAAATCTGCCTCTTTCAGTCTAGAACACCCGATTGCAGCTAACCCTTTTAGTCGCCTATTCTTTGCTTGCTTATTTGGCAGTGGCTGGTGGCTTTGTTTTCTCTCTTACAGTTTTAGCGAACTTTTAACACCTTCAGCTTTCGGTATCTCGCTGTGCTTTTTCTTTGTTCACATCATTGTCAAGTGACCAAGATTCTCACTGGCTCCTTTCAGGGCAACCTGGGATGAAGGTGCGGTTTCAGCAGTCGGATGTTGAGGTCGCTCTGCTGGGCCAGCTGAGAATTGCATGTGAAGTCAACAGAACACTGTTAGATCTGGTCAACGACATTGAAGTGGAGATAATTCGTCAGTCTCCCAATAATGAAACAGAGACCGTCATATCAAGAGGAGCTCGGAAACTCACAGCTGAGCCAAATTACTACAACGTTATGGTCAGTGAGAATCCTGGCTTTGGAGTCATAATCAATTTTGAGTTTCTCGAAGGTAGGAGGTATATTTGCTTTCGGATAATCGCCTATAAAAATTAAAGCTTGTGACAGCAAACTGTTGATGTAGTTAAAGCAGTGTCGGTTTTGGTGTGCATTGACGTACAGGTCTCATAATCTCCCAAACAAATTTAAATTTAAAAAAAAAATGTAAAAAGGGACCCTCTTCCACGCCTTCAGGTGTATTAGGCATATAGGGTTAGATCTCTATTGTATTGACCAAAAGGTATTTAGTAGGTGCTGCGGTCAACATCACGCAGGCCGCCTTTACTTTCCAGGACTTGACCTTGTACCCATTTAGGGTTGGGTTGACCTTGGAGCGAAGGCCATTTAAAAAAAAGTATGGCTCTGTCAGGATCCAATCCCACGACCTTCAGATTTGCAGGTGAGAGTCTAACTCTTACACCACGGCAGCTCGCAATCTCCGAAGAAAAAGTGTCTTTATTGTAATGAGGCTGGGGTATGAACGTCTTCTCCTACTTCTTCTGCCAGTAGCAGAGGAGTATACACAGTGACTGTACCGCAGAGCGTTCTGATCTGCGAGTTCGGATACCAGTGGCGCCTGCAAGAACTGGTAAGGATGTAGCCAAGGGATCGTTCATTCATAACAACATATAGTCAGGCTGAAATCACCGAAGGCTGGTAATGTTTCTTCTACAACATTCTCAGACCTTTTTCAGATGCTGCGCCTCCCTCTCCCCACTCCCCCATTTGAGTATACGGCAAGACATCCCCCCAATCCGATACACACTCCCCATCCACCGCAACCCCCTTTCCCGAAAAGATTATAATTGAAAAGAGGACAAGCAGAAAATTCCAACCACTGTTTACAAAAACTAGGGAAAAAAAACATCCACATAAATAAAGGTGTCAAGTAACAAAATAAACAGTCATAATTATCATGTAGCAGGTCCTTTGCAGATCGTCGCTCGCATCACGGTCTGCAAGCTCTCTCGCGTCGTGTTCTTTCATATTCAAGGAGTCACTTATATCATGTGATTATCTTCATGTTGGTCGGACCCTGACTCTCCTTCCTGATAGCATGCTTTCTGTTATTGGTTTTCCAATCCGAGGTGGTGCTTGATTTGACCAAAATATTTCCACTTCTGAGACAAGATGCTGTTTTTAAGCCAATCTTCCTTGATATTCAGTTCTTTAAAAATGTCATTAATACTTCTTTTCTTTGTCCATGTCATTCTGAAAATCATTCTATAGCATTTCAGCTCAAAAGCCGCTATTTTGTTTTGGGTATAACTACTGGTAGATAGTCCACAACTCACATCTGTATGTTGCTACAGGGACGATGCATGCTTCAGAATTATAATTTTGATCTCCTTGATAGTGCTTAACCATAAATTCTTAATGCTGTTCAGTCTTTGCATTGCTATTACCATCCTTCTTTTGATTTCAGGTCTTTGAGTTTCGTTTTTGGGTGCCATAATGTATTTCTTGGGATAATCATGTGGTAGTTTTCCCGTACTTTCCACGTCCACATGGCTTTATACGAGTGATTATCAACTTGTGGGCGATAAACACCCGATGACACAAAGTGCCACCATGTGGACGATGATCACCTGTGGAAAGGTCATAGAAACCGCGTTCAGCCATTAGACCATAATAATTTCCGGGTTATATTGCGGTCCCTGGCAAGAGCCAGAGTAGGGCTTTAAAAAAAAAATTGCATCCCATAAAGGGATGACAAGAAAAATGCATTCTCCTGCTTGACTGATGTTTTAGGGCAGCCCATTGCTTTCGTATTGTTTGTTTTCTTTTCAAGGTAAAGATACAATTGCAAAATATATTTTTTTTCCGAAAAATAAGATGCATTAATAAAAAAAAAAATAATTCAATAAACGCTATTGGTTTTGCAGTAAGACGCCATGATGAGGGCAACTATGTCTGCAGAATAAAGCAAAACAGCAACGCTGTAGTTCTTGGTGAAGATAGCATGGCGATTATTGTTCTCAGTAAGTACATGTATCTTGAATTATTTATAAACTGTTTCAATAATTCCTGTAACGTTTGCATGCAGATCAATCGTACTGGTACACTCACACAAGACGCCATGGCTAGGACACAAGGAATAGAGCAATTCTTGATATAAAACGTTGTGTAGGACTCATTCATTCATTAAGTAGCATGTCCCTCGCGGAACCTCGCTGCCATAACAACCCTTCGGAAAACCTTCCTATCCTGAGCAAGATGTCCTGCGTCTGATACACCCATCTGGAGATCATCTGCCACATCCTGCACCCATCTTCTCCTTGGCCTTCATCTCCCTCTCTTCCCAGGCATGTACCCCTCCATTATTGTTCTCTCTAGACTTCCATGACGTTTCAAGTGACCAAAATATTTCAATTTTCTTTGTTTTATTGTCTTTACTAGCCAACCCTCTTCAATATTCAGCTCTTGAAGTATGGATGCATTTGTTCTTTTCTTTACCCAAGATATTCTTAGAACCTGTCTGTAACATTTATATTCAAATGCATTTATGCGCTGTTCCGCTTGTTTAGTAAGTGTCCAGGTCTCACAGGCGTATGTTGCAATGGGAAAGATGCATGCTCTTAAAAATCTGACCTTTGTAATTCTATCTGTACAATTCCATAATTTATTCAGTTGTTTTAGTCTTTGAAGAGCAATTGATAGTCGCCGTTTAATTTCTTTCATTGTGTCCCATTGTTGGTAACCAGTGACCCAAGATATTCGAAATTTTCCACCACTTCCAATCTTTCCTTATTAACATATATTTCCTTCTCCATGGCAGTTTTGTTTGTATGCATTATCTTTGTTTTTGCTGTGTTAAGAAATAAGTTATGATTTTCACTATTTCTTTGGAGTGAGGTTAATAAGTTTTCTAAACCATTTTGTGATGTTGATAGTAATACTGTATCATCAGCATAACGAATTTCTGGTATGTGTAGGACTAAGCAAGTTAAACTCAACGACAAAATGACAACATATGCTCAAGGGAAACAATCGTTACAATTTATACAGCAAAAGTAGCTGACTTAACAAAAGTAGTCTCTGCCTGTTGGATTTTCCGATCCAAGCTGCTATCTGCAGGTTTCACAGCCTTAGAGACTAAAATAATCTCATTTTGGATTACCAACAGGACAAATCCCGTTCAACCTCCAGAAAAGTAAAGTGAGAGTATCAGTGACTTCTAGATCAAATGGCGTACCTTGCAAGCCAGTGCGGGTAAGGGTAATGTTAACAGAGGCAGGACATATACGTTGTGTAAAGAACGTGTTGAGCGGCTGGTCCAACTTCCCGTAAACGTCTCCATCCCAATATAGGATACAGCTGTTGGTTATTTTAGAAGCACACTCTGGCTGTAGTCGGGGGACCTAAATAAAACCGAACGGTTGAACGGGGTTTCTTGGACTTGTGCCCTGGTGATGGCCATCATCAGAATGTGGTATTTCCAGTCTAGAATCCTTGGTAGTGTTAATAGTGTATTCTGTCGAAAAAAGGAGGGGGGGGGGGTGTTGAGCGCGGCACGCGTACATACACACATACACACACATATACACTCACATGCATACACATAGAGGCACTCACACACACACACACAGAGACAAGCGCACACACTCACACACATACATAACACACACATAACCTGCACAGTTCGAGACGACTGCACTAATCATATCGCCATAGATCCTCAGCCTCAGATCACAGACACCCCCTCCCCGCCTCCGCCTAAACCACAAAAGCGTTAAATTAGGCAGAAATGCTTGGCTCCCAGGTCAACCCAGACTTGAACGGGTACCAGGTTCAGTCCTGGGAAGTTAAAGCGGCCGGTGTAATGCTAATCAAATCATCCACAGAGTGCTGAATTGTCTATAAAATAGAGGTCTAGCACAGTACACCTACATGCCTGGAAAAGGCTCCTTTGATTTACAGACAGTAATCGCGGTAATGCTTTAGCTGTTCACGTGTTGGTTAGTATAGACCAGTGGCTCTAATAGTTTCTTATGTGGTGACCGTTTAGTACAGATCCCTCATGTTTTGTCGACCCTTTAGTACAGTTCTCTGATATTGTGACGACCCTTTAGTACAGTTCCCTCATGTTGTGTGACCCTTTAGTACAGTTCCCTCATGTTGTGGTGACCCTTTAGTACAGTTCTTTCATGTTGTGTCGACCCTTTAGTAGTTTCCTTATGTTGTGGTGACCCTTTAGTACAGTTCTTTCATGTTGTGTCGACCCTTTAGTAGTTTCCTTATGTTGTGGTGACCCTTTAGTACAGTTCTTTCATGTTGTGGTGACCCTTTAGTACAGTTCCTTCATGTTGTGTCGACCCTTTAGTACAGTCCCTTCATGTTTTGTCGACCCTTTAGTATCGTTCCTTTATGTTGTGGTGACCCTTTAGCACAGTTCCCTCATGTTGTGGTGACCCTTTAGTACAGTTCCTTCATGTTGTGGTGACCCTTTAGTACAGTTCCCTCATGTTGTGGTGACCCTTTAGTACAGTTCTTTTCATGTTGTGTGACCCTTTAGTAGTTTCCTTCATGTTGTGGTGACCCTTTAGTACAGTTCCCTCATGTTGTGGTGACCCTTTAGTACAGTTCTTTCATGTTGTGGTGACCCTTTAGTACAGTTCCTTCATGTTGTGGTGACCCTTTAGTACAGTTCCCTCATGTTGTGGTGACCCTTTAGTACAGTTCTTTCATGTTGTGGTGACCCTTTAGTACAGTTCTTTCATGTTGTGGTGACCCTTTAGCACAGTTCCCTCATGTTGTGGTGACCCTTTAGTATCGTTCCCTTATGTTGTGGTGACCCTTTAGTACAGTTCCTTTATGTTGTGGTGACCCTTTAGTACAGTTCCCTCATGTTGTAGTGACCCTTTAGTACAGTTCCCTCATGTTGTGGCGACCTTTTAGTATAGTTCCATCGTGTTGTGGCGACCCTTTAGTACAGTTCTTTCATGTTGTGTCGACCCTTTAGTAGTTTCCTTATGTTGTGGTGACCCTTTAGTAGTTCCTTTATGTTGTGGTGACCCTTTAGTAGTTTCCTTATGTTGTGGTGACCCTTTAGTAGTTTCCTTATGTTGTGGTGACCCTTTAGTACAGTTCCTTTATGTTGTGGTGACCCTTTAGTACAGTTCCCTCATGTTGTGGTGACCCTTTAGTACAGTTCCTTCATGTTGTGGTGACCCTTTAGCACAGTTCCTTTATGTTGTGGTGACCCTTTAGTACAGTTCCCTCATGTTGTGGTGACCCTTTAGTACAGTTCCTTCATGTTGTGGTGACCCTTTAGTACAGTTCCCTCATGTTGTGGTGACCCTTTAGTACAGTTCCCTTATGTTGTGGTGACCCTTTAGCACAGTTCCTTCATGTTGTGGTGACCCTTTAGTACAGTTCCCTCATGTTGTGGTGACCCTTTAGCACAGTTCCTTCATGTTGTGGTGACCCTTTAGCACAGTTCCTTTATGTTGTGGTGACCCTTTAGTACAGTTCCTTCATGTTGTGGTGACCCTTTAGTACAGTTCCTTCATGTTGTGGTGACCCTTTAGTACAGTTCCCTCATGTTGTGGTGACCCTTTAGTACAGTTCTTTCATGTTGTGGTGACCCTTTAGTACAGTTCCTTCATGTTGTGGTGACCCTTTAGTACAGTTCCCTCATGTTGTGGTGACCCTTTAGTACAGTTCTTTCATGTTGTGGTGACCCTTTAGTACAGTTCCTTCATGTTTTGTCGACCCTTTAGCACAGTTCCCTCATGTTGTGGTGACCCTTTAGTACAGTTCCCTCATGTTGTGGTGACCCTTTAGCACAGTTCCCTCATGTTGTGGTGACCCCTAGACAATTATTTTCCTTTATAACTTGAATAAATAAGTTTTTTTTTTCCAGATGGTCCTAGGCGACCCCTGTGAAAGGGTGGTTCGACTCCCAAAAAAACTGTCGCGACAGGCAGGTTGAGAGCCTCTGGTATAGACAGACGTGTGCCCAACATGCAAGGTGTTTTATTCTGTATAGAAAGAGTTGAATAATGCGCCTGTCATAAAGAGCTGGATAAGAGTCGCCTGGGCGTATATATTAGTTTATTGTATATTGGTTATATACAGTAGATTGACTTGATTTGGCACAGGTCAGAAGCATTTCTTGGATATTATGATCAAGCCATGCGGGTCTTCGGGGAAACGAGAGGGCTATCCAAATAATTTCTAGAGAGAGTCACAGACTAAATGGTTTGTAATTATTTGCAGCGTTTGTAAAAGCCACTAATGGTAATCTGGATACCTCCACATTGATACATGCTGAAAATGTCAGCCTTGACGTAATTCAAAATAAAGAGCTTCAAATTCCTACAATCAGCCGTGACTCGGGATTTTATTTTCAGATTGAACTTTTTTTTTTTTTTTTGCACATCTTCTGGAAGACTGTAAGTTTACAGTCTTTTGTCGGATGCAGTGTCGTTCAGGTCTTCTGGGAATATCAGCAGGCTTGCCTCTGTTGGAGCGTGGTCGGTGTGCACACTTTTCTCCCTACGACCTCTTAAAAAAAGGTGCCCTCTATACGTGAATTTCGAAGGCCTCTTTCTCCTTGTCAAAACCCCGAAACCGGCCGGACTTATCGGGAAACTTTAAAGCTGCAAAATGACATGCTAGGTCATGAATATGCATGGCTACACACAGAACAAACTAAGGACAAGAGAGCTCAAGGCAAAGAGATGAAACAAATAAATTATAAAAATAAAGGAAACGTTTCCACGCTTTCAGATATTTTGGGCATATGGTGCTAGACCTATATTTAGTATACACCAATCGGCACTCGAAGGTTATGTGGTCAAGATCACACAGCTGCCTTAACATCGTAGGACTTTACCTAGTAAAGTTATCGCACAGTAAGATTTATATTTGTATCTCGCCAGAACCAGTCGAGAAGCTGTACCTGAAGTTTGGCAATTCTGGTCCTATATCAAGTAGTTGGGTGGACCCAGTTGTGGTAGATGCTGGAACATACCCAGTTGTATGCACTGCAGAAGGTAGCAATCCTCCGGCTACAGTCCGTTTATACCTGGACGGCAAACACATTCAGGAAGTATCGACGAAGACGGACAAAATGGAATCTCATCTGAAAGAATTCAGGTAAAATATTTACTGTACTGAATGCCCGAACAGCATATATCTATCTATCTTTTTTCTGCCATTTAAAAATCAAATCATACATAATCCAGCATCACTGTAAATGAGACCAGTCTGAAAAAGAAGTCAAAGTATTCAAGTACTTGTGGACACACACGAGGGAAGAGGGGATACTGGGTTGAGCTGAGCTGAGAACAGCCATCAGAGAACTCTAGACACTCCCATAAACCAGAGTTCCTACACCATTTCACTACTGTGACCTACCTAAACTGTAGCAACTGTTTTCTGGCCCACCTGACAGCTTTACCAAACAGGAGGACAAACAAATGTTGGTAGCACTTTATTTGCAGCTGATGCTTAGCGGTAAAACATTCTTATATGTTTGACTAGAGCGATGTTTCTGATATTAGAAGCGCTACAATAACATCCATATGATTCTCCGTTGGTTATTTTTTGTTTTGTTGATGTGCCTAGAAAGTCTGTTGACACAAATAGGACGTCTTTGGGGTGTTAATTCTATAGACTGGAAGAGAAGAACCACTACACTACATCATTACATGATAAGCTTATATTTAGGCGCCCCACAGGGATTCTCCGTGGATCAAAAGTGGGTCATGGCCCACGGGTTGAAGAACGCTACCATAAGTTCCCCGTTTCTCATTCAATTGTCTGTGACTGACTGAATAATGGGTGTCTTTGTGTCTGCTAGCCAGGTCTATGTGGATGGTAGCTGTTCATTTGTGACTGTCTGAAAACGGCTTGTCTGTGACTGTGATGACTAGAAATCGGTGGCTATCTAAATGGCTGCTTGTCTGTGACCAACCGATAACTGGTCATCTGTCACTGGTGACATGTTGTGTATCTTGTTTAATGACCGAATGTGTATATGTCTAAACCAGTCTCGAGCTACCATCAGCGATACTGACTAAAATCCTGACCCGCACAGGACTGCAGGTTACACCAGATTGGTGTAGGTGTCACAGGTTGTGAGGCCTGATTTTACCATTTTCGGAGGTTGAAAGGGGTATCTAGGATTTCAGGTGTTAGTTCGCTGGAAACAATTCAGTAGAGAAGGATGAGCGTAACGAACAACAACAGCTTTCATGTACACGTTTGATTGTTTCTTTTCAAAAGTCTCGAATTCTATTGACTCTTTTCTCTTTCAGAACTGTAGTGACAGGGGAGGTGTCCCTGGTATTTTCAAAATCATCGGGATCAGTTGAATGTGTTGCTGAAGCTCAGCTTGGAGATAAAAGAAGTGTTAAATTACCATTCAAGGCACAAGTGTGTAAGAACATATTTAACTTTGTTCCATATGTCTTTGTTAAATATTGTTTATAGCCTAAGAAACCAACGAACCAACCAACGACTGAAGACAATAATTACTTTCAAAGAGACACAAATTGGACACGCAGGCCCGTACTATATTCGACCCTTCCAAACATTCATGTTTCACAAAGCAATAGTATTTTATGAATAAAGCATCTTTGTTTGTATAACAGTATGCATAATATGAATATCAAGGAAAAATACAAAAGGGGTGGATGGTAAATACATACACACACATACATACACACATACATACACACATACATACACACATACATACACACATACATACACACACATACATACACACATACATACACACACATACATACACACATACATACACACACATACATACACACATACATACACACACATACATACACACATACATACACACATACATACACACACATACATATACACACACATACATACACACATACACATACATACACACATACACACATACATACACACACACATACATACACACATACACACACACACACATACATACACACAGATACATACACACACATACATACATACACACACATACATACACACACATACATACATATACATGCACTCACACTCATGCATACACATTTATACAATCACAGGCACACACACATTAGTACATTCAGCAACATACATATTGGCATGCTTAAACACGCATTCATTGCATACATACACAGTCATATACATACATACATTCCCACATATTCATACATACACATATACAACCATACGTGAAAACACTCTTACATATCCAAGCATGCACACATACACACACACACACTCAACATACTTAAGCTCATACATGTAAAGAAGTAGGTCATAACACGCCAAAGAAGATAGGTGGGCTATGACTCCTGTCCCATGTGGTTAAAATATTATAACATGTGTAATCGCATCAAATGAATTATTATTCAGAATGAAAAAAATATGGATCAGATTGCTTGCAGACAATTAAAAGGATCTACATTGAGCATAAGTTCTTAACCTGCTCACGACTAGCCATTTATTCCTTGACCATTTTATCCAATTCCTTCTCCATATTATTCCTTCATCACTGGATATTGTTTACTCATACAGTTCATTCTTTTTTAGTGTACTCTCTCTCTCTCTCTCTCTCTCTCTCTCTCTCTCTCTCTCTCTCTCTCTCTCTCTCTCTCTCTCTTTTTTTTTTTTTGAGGGTCGAGTTAGAGGAAAATGCAATTTTAGTTATATTTCTCTTCTTCTTCTTCTTCTTCTTATTATTATTATTAATATTATTATGTTTATTATTATGTGTCATATCTAACACTAGCGTCTTTGCCCTGTCTTTTAAGTAAGAGGCATGTTTTTAGTTATCTTCCTAAGGTCAGAATTACTTTTTCTATCAAACTATTTGATTCCTTCTGCCCTGCATCGGCATCAGTTAATTATTGTGAATCAATTCACAATTTATCAGAAATAAATCTCGTCTTTTCGGTGGTTCTGTTTCTGTGTGACATTACAGAGTTGACATCAGAGGGACATATTTGATGATACGTATTATGTTGAATTTATTTACCATCCATACACATTCTTCTGCTATGAAATCTCTTCTTACCATTTGTGTTTCTATTTTTTACATATCTAAAAGGTGTATACTTTTACCAGTGCCACTAATAACAAGTTGGGGGGGGGGGAAGGGGGGGGGGGGGTCTTCTATTGAGGGAGGGGGGGGAAGGGGTGGTTGGGGGCAGTTGCCACAGTACTTTCAGTATGCCTTAAAAGCTGTAAAGTTTGTGCAGCTATTGAGTTGTCGTTGTTGCTGCTTACACTGACAAGGTACTGCAATACTAGCGGCAAGCATTTGGTATAGGAATCTCGGGCGTCTGCCTCACGCATTTAGTGTTTGTGCTTGCTGTTGGATTACCATGATTACTTTTTTTTTTGTACCTTTCACATGAAGTATCGGTGGGTAAAGCGTGTGTTTTGAATGGTACAGGAACGGGATAATTCATTCGACGTCATGTTTGCCATGAAATTAGAAAGGTGAGTAACGACTAACTTGTTTTGGGAATGAATTTTCCTTGAGTATTATTGTTTCCATTCTACAGATGATGCTGACATTATCTGTAATGACACGGAAGCCTACCCAGGAGAGAATAATGTTGTCATCGCCTGCATCGTGGATAACCAGGGTCTCAAAGTTAAAAGTGTTAGATATGAGCTGGCAGATAAAGAATCGCAACAATCAGGACTGAATAGTCTGGCCGCTGAAGACGTTAATATAGAGGTAATTTGCATTGGCATGCGTGTGCTAACATAGTCATGCAACCACGCTTGAAGACACAAAACATTATTTACAGACACTCGGATACAAAGTTATTCTCACGCTGACATGTATATAAAAAGACACAAGCCCATGTACACACATACGAGCACACACATGGGCCAGAAAGGTACACACGGTCTCACTAGGTATACACAGAAACATACAAAATGTGAGGAGGATGATACGGTAGCGGAAGTAGGACATGCGGTAGCGGAAGTGGGCGATACGGTAGCGGAAGTAAGAGATACGTAGCGGAAAAGGGAGATAAGGTAGCGGAAGTGAAAGTGACGACTGCGAAAACGGCGGAGACGGTGGCCAAACTTGAAAAAAATGGTGGCGTAAGTCGAAGAGACGATGGCGTAAGTGGAAAGGACAATGGTAGAAGTAGGAGAGGTGGATGCGGAAGTAGAAGTGGTGGTTAACGAAGTGGAAGAGACGGTGGCCGAAGTGATGATGAATGAGAATACATAGGAAACTATTACACAGTCACTGACCACCTCTGAACAAATCTAGCTGGACATCTTAACTTGACATGTTTTGTTTTCTTTTCAGAGGCTATCAGAAACTAAGATAAGAGTGTATCTGAGACTGCAAAGGGCTGAAGATCAGTACTTCAAATCTGAGTTCCGCTTGCTAGTGGAGCTTGAAGACGGACACGTAACTAGGCAGTCTGTTCGACTGTACAAAACTCCAGGTAGAAATATATATCTCTACTGTAAATATATATCGCTATTGTACAAATGGATCTCTCTTGTAATTTGGCACGTATGGGGACCAATTATGGAGCGTGTTCGCAATGAAGGTTGGCTACAGGGTGTTACTGCTGCCTTTGATCAATTACACGGTAGAACCCTAAATATCATCAGTAGAATTGATCCAGAACCCCAAAGACAGCGATCTGTGGAGATGCACGAACGCCTACGCTAGCTGGCAAAGCACTTGATGATAATGAAGACACCAATCTCGTCAACAGTGACGCTCTTGTAATACTGCCCCAAAACTACGATAACGATTGTGAGAAAAACTAAGCTGAAATTCAACAACCTCCTTTGTAAGCAGACGAAATTTATCGTAAATTTGAAGTTACCTTGGTAAGTCACGTGACTACGGTGAGCTTCCCGCGGCCATGAAAAAGACACAATGTATCGGAAGAAACTGCTGGCATTTCGGTTAAATTTATTCATTTTTTTGCTTTATGTTGATATAACTCTGTAGTAACGCACCTGATGGTATAATAGAATTGTTAAAAACATTCACTAACCCCAAAACCACAAAGCCGCACCTGCAATTGCGTACATCCGTCATCATCATCGTCGTCATCATCATCAAGTACATTGCCGACTTTCGTAGGCGATTATGCCTCTACATATTCGGCGATCTTCTACAGCATGTATCAGTTCGTGTGTTTACACTCTTCCATGCCAAAGTTAAAGGAGGCAAGAATTTTCAGACTTTGTCTTTCTCTGTCTCTTTTCGTGTTCGGTTGTCATCTGTTTCATGGCATTTCTTTGCCGTCTTTGCTGACTGCTTCTATCACTTATTGGTGTAGGACCACCAAACAAATCCTTAAAGTTTTCAGTCTGTGAAAGTTCAGCGTACCAACCTAATAATGGACACTCCAATAGAGACACAGACCTTACGGACCCTTTATAACGCTGCTTAAGATATGGTTATGTGAGGCTGAATGATGATGATGTGGCAGCAGCAGTATAACGGTGCAGGCGAAAAATGATGGATGAAGATGTGTCTGCAACTGCATAGTGTTCAGGTAAAGTTCATTTTGCGGCCGTGAGTTCAAATCTCACGTCTAATAAACTTTTTTTCTGAAGTGGGGGGGGGGGGGGGGGGTGATTATGTGCTGGACTCTCCATGCAGTCTGGGATATTTTCTTTTAAAAAATATGACTATGGCTCCCAGATCGAGCAGGGTTCTGGCCACCATGTCATGTTCCAGGTCCTAGAGACGACTGGTGCAGGGGAGAGGAAAATTATTCTATTTATTTGCCATTCAGCACCTAATAGTTAAATATATTCTAAAAACTATTGACATTATTATTATTCACTTAAACAAGGGTTAGCGCCCCCTAAAATGTCAGGGGACTTCAAATTATTCTCTCTTTTTTTTTCTATTGGCGCCCCTGAGACAGTTGGAAACTGACATCTCCCGACGAGTGCCTATTTGTCAGAAAAAACTGTAGTGCGTTTCAAAATTCGTGCCCTCACAATTTCACAAAAAAGGACTAAAATCTCATGATTAGGAAGTAGAAAGCAGTCATTTGCACACCTGTCATTTCTTTTGATGTTTGACTAACTGACATTAAACCCCACCAGGACATCATACCGTGCGATAAATACCCGGTGACACAAAGTGCCACCATTCGGATGAGGATCTCCCAGAAACCCTATTCAACCCACAGGTTGGGTTATATAAGGCCTCCGGCAACAGGCAGGTTGGGGCTTTAAAACAACAACAACATAGGGGCGCAGTATTATTATTGCATTTGAATTTTGCCCCACCAGCACAAGTACATATGTGTTTCTGTACCACAAATTCCCAACTCAGCGAGCTTATTTTCTTCTGCACTTGGGTTGAGATGACTTGAAGCGAGAACAAAGGAAATCATGGAAGAATATATGAGAAAGACATTTACAGGAATTTTCATGAATGTCTTTAGACGTAATTTTAACAATCTTGTATTTGTTCGTTAACCACAGGATATGGCTCCGCCTCAGGTATGTACATTCTTCAGTCACTAAGTCAAGAAATTCCTTTTAATAAGGCTACAATAATATAAAGGAATCGAAAGTAGAGTATCATGATGTTTTCTACTCGTATATTGCTCAATCTCTCTCTCCAAAGCTGTTGAGGCCAAGCAATGATCTGTCTAGGTTCTATGTGGACCCATGAACACTTTAATCTTCTCCTGGTACAGCTGTGATGTGAGTACGAACACAGTAGACGATTATCAATTCTTTATTGCGGCCACAGTAACTGTACACTCTGGTCAGTGTCCTGTGTTCTTACCAGTACTACAAGGGCCAAATCACGAATACTGCTGTATAAACATCATAACTCAAATGTTTCAGTCAATACATCTCATTCACGCCAATCCCTTGCCTTTCTCATCCATCGTAGCAGAATCGGACACTCGTTGACGTTGCCTTTAAATCCACACTGACCCAGCCATGTTTCTCTGAGTCTCAGCAGCTTTTATACAGGGTCAATGACATCAGTTAATAATAGTCGCTCCTTTCTGCAGTCAACCTTTCCCACTGTCGTCCCAACACCGACTGACTCTATATCACCTCTTCGTTCAACCGTTCGTTCCAACTCCAAGTTTTGTCATTACAACTGTTCACAAAACACGAAACATACTTTTTTTCCCCCTAGTTTTCCTGACCTCCTTACGTCACCCCCGTAAACTCTCTGGGGTTCCCTGGGAATTTCCATCACTGCAGCAGGTAAGGATTTTACATCCCCACCCCCCCCCCCCCCCCCCCCCCCCCCCCCCATCCCCCCCCCCCCCCCCCCCCCCCCCACTGGCTGTAAACTCCGACAGAAAGTTCTGGTCATTTGTTCACTTCTGGACTTTTTCCTGTTTTAGAACTTTAATTCTGCGTGTACCTTCGGTTTTACAGATCTGGCTTATTCGTAAGCAGACTGCTCGTTCCCCGCCTCTCAGGCAGACGAACACTGACTTCGAAGCAGTCGACTTTTGCGACATACACTTTGGGAGTTGGTAGGTAGGGGGGGGCAGTGGGCTTATCCCCACCCCTTACACCCCATCCCCAAAGAGCCCCAGAAACCCATGCAGGGATTGAAATGCGACCATTTTCTCGGCTGGCAAGCGCACAAACTAGTAAACCACCACAGCTAGTATTTACGTACATAATTTACTTTAACCTTACAAACAAGTCAACGCAGTAGTTACTTTATAATATAACACACATATTTTACTCTTTCTATTGCAGGATCTGGAGGCAATCCTAGCAGTAAAGTGCCATCGTTAATGCTGTTTTTCGCATACATTATGTGGCTTTTATAAAAGCCATAGACATATCATTTATTGTGTTTTCTATAGCATTTATTGCACAAACCTGGCGACTCAATGATTTATATAGCACAAACATTGCATTAGCGTACATGCAAGTACCGCTAAATTTGCTGTAAGGAAACCGTTAATGTGGACTTAATAGAAGTAGTCACAATCGGGAGAGGGTAGAGGGGGTATTAAAGAAAAACTGTTGCACTGAATAGGTCATACAGTGAAGTAGAGGAATTCAGAGTTGAATAAAACAAGCCGTCTGACAAACATTCGAATGCTAAGTATAAGTGTATATGTTTGCCCGAAGTAACGGTAAACCAAACCGATGTATAATATGAACGACAATTTTTAATGTTGCTGAAGAGGCCAGCTGTATGTATTTAATTATGCAGAAGAAGAAAAAGATCATGCACGGAAGCACTAACAGATCTCAAACGTCGTTTGTGTCTAATCAACGAGATCATTGATAGAGCATGAGAAATAAATGCCTGGGCACTGACTAGCACTCATAAAAGCAGTTAAAGGAAATGTCATAGATGACATAATGAATTATCTACGAGACGTCAGACGTTTGGGTGATTAAAGAGATACCTGTGAATCCGCAACTATGATTAGAGTGCAAGTGGTGAGGGCATACAAGGTTATTATGCAGGAAGTCAAAGAAACAGAAATGGTCTCGTCAGCCCCTACATGGTGTGGGATTTACCGAGGAGAGGTTCAGAGCATTGTCGCTACAGGGTGTGGGATTAACTGAGGAGAGGATCCAAGCATTTTTGGACTAAATTATTCGAATTTTTAATAAGGATCATTTGTCTAACCAACTACAGTATGTACTAGTGCACGGAAGCGTTATCCTCATTAAAAGTGACAGGTTCGAATCACAAAATGTTCATTATAGCTATCCATTTTCATGTTACCTAGTGAACCCTTTTGTCTTTTTCAGCCACCTACTTCTATGAGTGAACATCAATACCCGTAAATGTATTTCATTTTGTAAACGGTTTTGTGAACTACAGTCTTGGGTGTTTATTAGTATTTGTTATGGTATTAAATGTGTTGCAGGTGGTCAAGCATTACTGTTTGTGTACTTTACAATATTGCCGAGTGTAACTACAAGATGGCATGTACAGTAAATGCACTGTTATATGCATAATCATCATCATCATATGTCCGTCGTTAAGTTTGTTTTACCTTGCAATTTCCCCTTCAATCATATCACTTGTCACTAAGTAATGAAGTCTGTTTTAATTTAAAAGAATATGTAAATTATATTATAATATACGTAAATGTGTTTAATCATAACTGTATCATTAGCATTGGAACTCCGCGTTGGCTGCTAGTGATGGGGACGTAGCGGAATGTTCTGGGTGCGTTGATATCAGTTTGTAACTCAACTCAGCATAAGTTAATACGGCAATATACCAAAGGTAATAAAGCTGAAAAAACTGGATACATTACAGTGTCAGGTCTGGGATTATACGGTAGTTTAGACAGAGCAATAGTTGAAATAATGATTCTGGAATTTCTGAACTGAATTTAATGGTCACTGTTTGAAAACAGTTCATCATCACGTACAATATTACATCATTCAGTATGAGAATAGAGGTGAAAACAGTTACGGCAGCTTTCTGATGGTCTGAGAGCAGCACAGCCCGACATGTTGTAATTGTAACGGATTCACAGAGCATGATTCTGACAATTGAGACTGGCGTCCTACGAGTAGAGCCGCTTGCTTCACTTGATAAGACACAGATCAGGAGCAAATCATGAATTTTCTGTCCCAGATATTCAAGCATGCGGGGTAATGAGCAGGCTGATAGATTGGCAGCTCCTGCTCTTCTGTGTGGGGAGCTACTTTATGATAAAGCGGACCTGGTGAAAGCTCTCTGGGATCAAATAAATAGTGCAATAGAACATACAGAGAATGCCTACATTAAAAAACATTCAGCATGAGGATGAAGGAAGGTTCAGAAAGATACAATCAAGCTGCAACTGGTACTATTTGCCTGTCATTTTTTGTTGGCAACTGAGGAAGGGGACTGAGCATGTGTGTGGATGCCCCGAGTTAAGTAATGTCAATTCTGCATTGATTATTTCATTCATTTATGGTCCAGGAAGGCAAGGCAATACAACGCCCATGTAAGACATGCATGTATGCGCAAGAAAATGCCTTATAGAGGAGTAACAACAGATTTATCTTCTTCACGGCGAGCTATGATGTGAGAAATGTTCTGCAAATAGCTAGCTGTATGATACTGAAGACACCATTAAATAGACGCTAAGCTTAGATAATCTTGTAAACAGCTATTTTTAACCCTCGGTACACCCGGACGTACCACTGTTGTTTGTATTCATGTGGAAAGCAGACAAGATGGGGGGAAAAAAAACACAACTGACTGCGGAGTAGAGGTTTTTGGGGAAATGCAAAGAATACAACTGACATACATGAGAGTAAAAGCAGGTAAACAATAGAGGCAGGCATTACATTGACTAGTGAAATTAGACGTACACAGTCAATATTCATTCTGGCTAAACGTTATGAGCATACAAACCTATGGGAGGATAGGGAAAAGACAAGTGGATAAATACCTGAATGGTTTTACTTTAGTTAGGGACGCCGACACACACACAAACAATCATTAGGGGAAAAAAAAGGGGGGGGGGGCACTTAGACAACTGTTTAAGGCGCAGGAAAAGCGAGAAAAAAAGGTTGGGGGGGGGGGGGGGGGGGGGGGGGGGTGGCGTTAAGTCTAGATTAATGGCGCAGTAACAATAATTATTTTGTGCTGAAATTCAAATAAATATAATGATACATTTGACATTACATAAAATGTCTAAGCAAATACCTAATGGGGAGGGGGGGGAAGGAGGGGGGTGTACACTTAGGTCTTGCGAAATTTCTAAGACTCAATCCACCCTAAAATTATGGGGTTGGGGGCGGGGGGGGGGGGGTAGGGCTCCTGAGCACACTCTGTATTGGGAACCAAATCACCGGAACCGAGACTTATGAGACAGCGAGCTATGGTCGACTGAGCTTATTCACTGGGTCTATTCTTGATAGGTCTTGATATATGATCTGACATATCACGTACTGTGTGTGTTTTCTTGGTTGTTTTGTTTAATGTTAAACCAGGAAGTTTACTGTGTTGAATCTGTACGTCTTGTTGGACATTATTATTCATAAAATCAGCTGGTTATCATTCCAGTGATTTGACTAGGTAGAACTGAAGCGATTACAATCGTGACACACAACATTGCAGCTGGGAATAGGACAGATTTATGACTGGAAAGCTTCACGTAGGCAAACGAGAAGTTTGAGGTTTGAACAACGGGTCAACATCATGGCACACGGATGCCCATAAAGTGCTCCCTTCTTCTTTTAACTCTTTTTGAGTCCGAAGAAGCTCAGCACAGTGCACAGGTTTTGAAAGGATCGTCAAATACTTGGGTAGATTTTTAACTCCAAATTTTGCCCGGGCAGCGCTCTCTTTTTCGATTTACAGCTGCCAAAACATTTTTTACGTGCGCAACAATGCACACGAGCCTCCGATCTCAATAATCAGAGACCCGGGTGCTTTACTAGAAGTTCAAGTACACGTGAAAAAATCCCAGCACTTAACGGGAATTGAACACGGAACAAGGAAAAAGCTCGCATAATTGCAGCTGAACTTTTCGGTCAGTCCATATCAATGTACAAAACATGAAACTGACTTTATAAAACAACCGATAAACAACATGATACACAAAGTATATTATATGAAAAAAATATTGACAGGTAAAGTTATCATGAAGCGAGCAATATACGACTGATTTGTTAATAGACATGCAGAGTTTACTCCAGTCCAGTGTTAGATGTTCTCTGTCAGTCATTGACTAGTTGAATTAAGTAATTATTGGTGCAACTCAGGTAATGTGTTTGTTCTACCATTACATGATATCGGTGTGATGTATCTGAGCCAAAGTGGCCATTTTGATACTGCTATACCATAATAAAGGCATTGTTTGTACCAGTGTTTATACATAGTTTGATTTAGTTCGTTTACCAGTTTTTCTTTATGCAGCAGAATGCTGGAGAATTACCAGAAAGGATGCACACAAGCTATCCACCTTCCACTACACATGTCTACGTAGAATTATCAAAATTTTCTGGTCAAAAAAATCTCAAACACACTACTTCAAGTCACAAACCAAGAGACTGTAGACAGTATGATAACCAAGAGAAGATGGAAATGGCTTGGCCACGTTATGATAATGAATCCTGATATGCCTGCCAAAACAGCTCTCACATGGACACCGGTAGGAAAGAGAAAGAAGGGGCGCCCAAAAACAACATGGAGACGAACGATGGAGAATACAGCATCTCTGACATGGACAACTGCACTGAAGATTGCACAGGGCTGGAAAGCAATGGAAAGTCCTCTCTGAACCCTCAATGTCCACTAGGCATAAAGAGAATTGATGATGATACCATAATAAAGGCATTGTTTCTACCAGTGTTTATACATAGTTGGATTCAGTTCGTTGTAGTGATTTAGATTTGCTCCTTGTTGCTAGTGTAGTTATTGCCCTAGTTACAGAACTAGTTTCCTAGCTCTAGTGCCATTAGCCAACGTTACCACTGTTTGGGCTTCTTATACCTGCTGGAGTATCTGTCGTAGCCAGATCTCGCTTTTCTTTAATCCCTTCTTTTTTTTTTTTTTTTTTTTTTTTTTAGAAGTCAAAAGGCCTTCTTTAGTCTCTACTCTTCTTTTAATTCTCATCGTCTCCTTACTCCTTCTGTCTCCATAAAGACGTCCTTTAAAAAATTTCAGGTCATCAAAAAAGAAAACATGAAACACTCATTACTGATCACTGATTTAAGAATCGACATCACAGCACACCGGGCATCCCCGTAGAAGCTCGGTCTCGCGCAGCAAATGCCTTAACGTGTAGATGCTGAAGGTTTCCGAAGCACACTGATTATACACACGTCGTTCCCTTTCTTTCATACAACCCTCATT